TTTACAAAACAATTATTTAAAAAATAAATTATTAATTTTATATAAATCATTTTATTAATAATTTAATTAAATAATATATTTAATAATTTACAAAATTATTTAAAAATTATTCCTTTTTCCTAAATTTAAACAGATTTTCATTAACAAACTCAATCATATTTTTATCTCTTGTTTGCATAATAACATCTTCCAAAAATTTAAACACTTGATCATCATAATTCAATTCACTTGCTATCCTTTGTATAAAATCTTTAAGAATAGTATTTTCTTTAGTGAGTTTCTTTATTTCAAAATCCTTTAATACTCTCAAGGAATCCTCACTATTTTTGTTATGAACACATGGAATCAATGGTTTCCTTTCTTTTATTGGCAAATATTCTAATTTTAACATTTCACTTTCTTTAATTGTTGATGTTTCTTTTAGTTTGATGTACTCATACATTCTGACATCATATGCTAATTTTTTTATGTAATATTCTTTCGTTAGATTTATATACATTTTTTCTTTACTATTAGTTGTCTCTTTTAGAATATTTAGTTCATTCTCTAAAATAATGGTTCTTTTGTTTTCCTCCTGCATATGAAAAGCATTCTTTTATTTAAATATAATTTATAATCTTAAAATATAACAACATAAAAAAAATAATTATTTTTAAAATATTTTATATTTTTAAGAATTAAATTAAATTTTTTCTTTATTTTTCTAAAAATTTAGAGAATTTATTATTGAATGTTAAAATTCTAATTTAATAATTTAAATAAAATAAAAATATTTATTATTACACATAATTAAACATTTTACAAACCAAAAATAGTAAAAACAAAAATAAATATACCAACACAAATATTGATGTTGGCAAAAGCATATAAAATTGTTGAATCATTAATCAAAAATAGATAGTAAATACTTGGTAATATTAGCATCAATAGAGTAGAGGAAGTAGATCCAATGAGTTTAAATATCATATCAAGCTTTATTTTTAAGATTGTAATTCCGTAGCACAGGACCAGAATTACGGCAGTGATTATAAAGTTAATATTTTTAGCTTGCTTTATCCTCAGAAAGCTCATAAAATATTTTTTACATGGATGGATCTGCAGAGGAAATGTTAATGTAATGCTGATAAAGTAAAGTAATTTTAACAAGCGGCTTGTCATATCCTTGGGAAAATTTTCAAAAATATTTTTACTTGATTCCTCACCAAATATTAGATAACAAATTAATCCAAACTTAAGTGATGTTAAAGAAGCTGTAAATAAAGAAAGAGCAGATGAATAAGTCATTACGTATTTTCTATTCTGGGATACTTCATTTCTTATGGTAAAAAAATTTACATGGCATGAAAAGGCAAAGACTAAACTACTAATGTTACTTAGCCAAGAATACTCAGGAAACTTGTAGTAAATTAAGTTATTTGAAAATCCTCTTTCATTAAATATAAAATCAATGAGTAAGGAAGTAACCAATGTGGTAATAGTGGATATAAAGGAGGTATACTTTAATTGGGAAATATTTTTAGAATAGCAAAGTGGAAACAATAAAAGAATAAATATTAGCAATAGCAAGTAATCTGGTATATAAAAAATATCCGATAATAAAAAAATTAAAATCTCTTGAGAAATAATTAAATAAGAAATTGAAACACCCAAACATTTTGCAAAAATAAAAAAATCTAAAAAATAGGATGAATTTTTTATAATCTTGTTAATTAAAATATTATAATCAGCATCCTCATACTCTTCTGCACAGCATATTAAAAAGAATAAACCAAAATATACTAACACACAAAATATAAGTGTTATTAAAATAAAATTAAACATTCCATAGACCTTAAACAAATAAGGAAACATTAATATTCCTGCGCCTGACGTGGTTTCTAATAAATTTACATAGGCAGTTAAAAATTCTTGCATTTATTACAAAAAACAAATACTTTTACTTTTAAACTTAGAAACATATCACTTTTTGTTAAAATTTAAAACAATCTATAAACAAAGATGAAAGCTATTTTGAGTGGGTATGTGAATTTACTTAAGACCTCTGTTGGAAGTGGTATTTTATCTTTTCCTTATTTATTTAAGATCTATGGCATTGGTCCAGCTATAATATTAACATTCTTTTTTGGAGCACTTACACTGGTAGGATTAAATATTTTTACAAATTGCTCTATAAAGATTGTAAATCCTAATTTGTCTACACTTACTCATCAAGCATTTCCTGAAATATCTAATGTCGTTACCATTGCAATATTTATCAAGTGCTTAGGAGTAGCTACTTCATATTTAATAGTTATCAGACAACTTTTACCAAAATTTTTAAGTTGTATTTTTTTAGTTGAAATTGGAGAAACAACAGTCTTAACAATTTGCTTATTAATATTTGCCCCAATTTGTTACTTTAAAAAAATAGATAAATTAAAGATTACCTCTACCTTTGGATTATTAGCTATTTTCTTCATTGTTGTTGCTTCAATTTATAGGTATAAGACAAGTGATAGTCAAATTTACCTTGAAAAATCTTACAATGATGTTTCATTCCTTTGGATAGATAATTTTTCTAAGTTTATATTTGCTTTTACTTGCCACATGAATTTTTTTTCTGTGCTCCATGAATTTCAACATGAAAACAAAAAAATTATGAAAAATATTTCTTTATTTGTTGTACTTTCTGCCTTGCTATTTTATCTTGCATTTGGATATTCTAATTACAAACTTTATAACCAAGGAGTAAAAGATAATGTTTTAGAAAACTATCCTGATGATTCATTAGCATCATTAATACGTCTATTTTATGTAATCGTAATGATTTTTTCATATCCTCTACAGGTGAATCCATGTAGGACATATTTTCTTGCTATGTTTAATATCAAATCAAAGAAGACAGAGAATATTATGAGTGTAATAATTACAACAGTTATAATCATAATTACATATAGTATTGCTATCTCTGGCATAGAACTAGGAGTAGTATATAAAATAATAGGAGCTACTTCCTCTACTCTAATGTGTCTGATACTTCCTGCATTATATTATTTAAAATTAGAAACTGATAAGAAAAGATTTTTAATAATTTTTTCATATTTTACATTGAGTTTAGGAATATTTGTTTTTATTAGCACAATTTCAAGAATATTATTTAAATACTTTGTACAAGATATTTAATAGAATGAGAGTATAAAAATAATATTAACAATGGTTTATTATTATGAATAGTTATTTTATAAAATTATTATTCTATTGTATTTACCTTTATTTTTTAAATATTTGATTCAATCTTACAATCTGACGTTATAAAAATTTAAACAC